GCTCCAGCACCGCAAGCCACGACGACGGGGGCACCCGCACAACACCCAACCCTCCTGGCTCAACCCCGCCGGAGCAAAACAAGATGGAAAAGGAAACCCAAACACAAGCACAGAAGGATATCAAACCAAACATTTATACAAAGTATTACTCATTTTGAAACCCACAGGGTCAACTTCAGTTAAGAACATGTTTAAACATTATTTTCACCATAGAGAAAGCAGTAAGGAGCGACGCCACCGGCAGCGCAGCCAGCGGCCGGGGAGCCGTGTGCCTGCCCGGGCTTGGGACTTGCCGTGACTCCGCACAGCTCCGGCTGCGAGACCACAGCTCATGCAACCATCGCCCGCATCGCTGCTGGCCCAGCTGGGCCATCAAAGCAAGAGGGAGTGAAATCCGGGCACCGCGGAATTAGGGGGAATCGTGACTCTGCCTTTGGGGTGCAGTTCGTCCAGAATAAATGCCTGCTTGGCTTCATGGAGACATTCAGCTATTTTCATGTTTAGCTATGCTATCAACATGAGAAATCAAGCACGTCCTGCTTATTTAAAGTGGTTTTCTTGCACATATACTATAAATCACAAAGATTTAAAAAAATTTTTACTAATCGTATCTAAAGTGTGAATTTTATTAATTTATTTATTGTTTTGCCTAGGCTTCTTAATACAAGTTTCTTCTCTAAACAATTGCTTATGAAATACATTTTAATTTTTTTTCCGGTAGCCTAGACCCAAGAAAAGAAACCCCAAGAAAATGTTAAAGCAAAATAGAAACCAGCAGTTAATTTAAGGCTAGCAGATTTGGTGTTAGGAATTAACTAATACACCTCCTTTTAAGAAAAAAGACATGCACCATAACTACTTTGTTGAACAAAACATCACGATCCACATCAGAAAAAAAACCCCAAAACATTTTCAAATCAAATTATAACTTACCCTGAAAGTTACCCACTCGCATGTTTTACCTACTACTTACTCTTAAGAAATACAGGGGAAAGGAACGCCCCTTTCCATATTTTTCAGAATATACAGTATAAATATAGTAGGAGTCATGCCATAAAACTATATGCAAAAATTGCACACTATTATTGCATGCGTGTTGTGATACTACATGCCAACGAACATCAGCTCGCCGATCGTCCCGTCGTTGTTCGTACTTACAGCGCAGCCACCGCGACCGAGGGGATGCTCCTGCCTCCCGGCGCGCCGGGGACCACAGAGTTCAGCACACATGCGGCTGGCGGAGGGCCTGCTCTCCTGCCCACGCTGCCCTTGCCGGTAGGAGTTCAAGCTCTAAACGACAGCTAGAAGTCCCGTCGGGTTATGTAAACCGATCCGAATTCATTTTTCGCAGTTTGGGTGGAAGGTTCCCTTCCATCCTGCCGCCGCCCGACAGCTTCTGCAGCTTGGGCGGCAGGTCGGCCACCGACTGGCTGATGGGATCCGACATCATCTTTGTGGTTTTCGACACCAGTTTCTCCTCCGAATTCCCGGGGACCGAGCTGATCCGCTGGAGTTTCATGGGTAAATCCCCCATGCTGTAGGCCTTCTCAGAGGTGGTGGAACTCATCCTGAGGAGTTTTTTGGGGAAGTCTTCCCTCCCAGTTATTTTCTGCAGTTTTGAGGGTAGTTTTGTGCCAACTTCGTCGAGACCATCCAGGCACTCCACCGAGTTATTCCTTTCCTTGCTGTTGCTCACAGCGGGCGCTATCAAGGGAGAGGACATGAGCAGCATCTCCTCCTGCTCCTTCACGCTGTACGGTGGGGTGGGGACCTCAAACGTCGCGTGGAACTGGGAGTAATCGACTTTAAAGAACCCCTCTTCCAAGGAGATGACAGGGAAGAAACGATGACCCCAGAGCACCTCGTCCTCGGTATAGGATGTCCTGGCTTGGCACGTCATCCCTGCAACGAGCAAGGGAGAAAAACTTTCACCACTTATGGACAACTGGGGATGCACGCAGATCTTGGGGTTTTTTTGAACATTTCAATGAAACATATTTTATGTTTTTAGATGTATAAAAGAAAAGGCATTGGCATGCCTACCATTTACATACAGTAGCTATTAAATTGTCATCCTCAAGGTGAAAGGAGCCAACAATAGAGGAAGGAGTGTCACTGAATAATTCACATCTACTCTTATGGACACTTCTGAAGGTGCTGCTGACAAAGGGAAATACAGGGCTAACTGATAACCCCGGTATTAAAATAGCAAGAGCTGCTAATTGTAATGTAAAGTTGGACTTGTCAGGATCTTAAAGTATTACTAAGTTAGTCCGTATTTTCATCATATTGACGAATGCATACAAAACCAGACCCTACACTTTATGCATCGTATGTACAAACCAAGCCCGTGTTAGTGCGTTCCAACCCACCAGCGAGCAGTAGGTATGTTCTATGAAATACATTTATTCCTCTTTAAGGGCTTCACCAGCAATCTGCTCACAGATCCATCGCTGCCAGGCTGAGATCCAAGCCTCAAAAAATTAGCAGGGAAGAAGAAATATGACTAAGAGGCACAACACTGCCCTTCCTCTTCCTCCACCACCGCCCACCGTGGAGAAAAGTCCTCCTCCAGAGCACCCAGACTTGGCCATCCCGGTGACCCGTCCGACCTCAGAAATCAGAGGGAAATTATGACCGTGGATCGCTGGAGGCTTCTAGAAGAAATCCTGCTGCTTCTTTTTTATTATTTTTTAAAATGGTATCTGTAGCAATCTGTAAACAGAACTACCCTGCCATTTTATCCTAGTATAGCAAACTGGAAATATGACATTTGGTTTTCAGGAAGCTAAATCTACCTCTGCAAACACATCCTCTGCCTAGCTGGCAAGAATGCCTGTTAAGTCAGGAGAAAATTAGAGGAAACTTTGGAAGGCACAGGAAAAACGATAGCGGGGCTGTAGCGAGGGGGAGTGAGGGATGGATATGTGCCTGGTGACATACAGCCAGAAAAATAAAATTTTATTACACTTTATGTTACTGCTAATGGAATCCAAGTTTTAGTTTTGCATAGCTATTTCTACCGCTAATACGTCTGAGTGTATCACAAGACATAAAACTCAGTTTTCTGTTTTATCTCTTAGGAGAAAAATATGAACCCAGGGGTTTTTTTTGCACTGAACACCGCTCCCACCGCCGGTGAAGGTGCCTCACCTGAGCTCACACACCTGCAGGAGCGTATCCTGAGACCAAACCATCCTACCTCCTTCCCACAGCCACAGATAGGACAGTATTTTATACCTTACGATGCATTTTCACCTGGTCGCCATGTGTTTCAGTTCTGTTTACTAAGTGAAGTGAAAGCAATCACATACCTAATGGGTTTAGAAAAAAACTGCAATTTTTAGAAAAATGGTAATTAGAGTGAGCACTTCTTCCATCTGTGTCCTTTACTCTGCAGCTGTTCATTAGCTGTACCTTCGCCGCGAAAGCCCAGACCTTTCCCCCTCTGCTTCTTCAGACCTGACTTCCGAGGGAGACCTCATTAGCGAACGAACGCAACTAATACTGCATGCAAATGGCGGGAGCCGCACTTGGAACTGGGTCTACGGTGCCTGTGAAGCAGATGGCTGGTTAACTCCAGTGACCTACGCTTTTGATAACAAATTGCTTAAAATGCAAATCTCTCCGTATAGAAAAGTTGATAATTGTCGACTTCGCTGCGCCGCTGGCTTTGCTGAGGGGGTTGGAGCCGCACCTCTGGCGTGATCCCGTGGGAACACCGCCGGGGCGGCCACCCCGGCCACAGCCACGCTGCTCTGCAGAGAGCTGATTGCTGCGGGGAAATGACTTGCACGGCTTTTTCTTTGTGTTGGCAGCACTAAAAGAAAGAATTAAGCTTTATTGTAAAAGGTGTGCTATCAAAATGCCATGGGGGGGTGTAGCAAGGGGCGTGGGGGGAAGGGGCGGGGCTCAGCAACACTGCCAGGGCTCGGGGAAGGGGACCAGCGCACAGGACCAGCCGGCACCTGCATCCGCATCCCCATCCGCATCCGCAAGAGATGCCGTGGCCGATGCTGCACGCATCGGGGCAATGCTGGGGCACGGGACCCGCCGCCTGCCGGGTTAGGCTCTCCCATCCCCGCCAGCCGCCGTGCTATTTCCACCCCCCAGTCCATCATCCTGCCATCTACCAAACCTGCTGCTGCCAGCAGGCTTTCAAAGGAGGAATTTTATACCTGCTTACTATCGAAAAATGTATTAGCTGAATCAGATCAGCTTCACATTTTGTTGCATTGATGTAACCCTTTGTAAGCTCACCTGAGAGACAAACATTTGCAGGTTATGTAATTTTTCATTAAAATCAATTTATCTTATTCACTAACAAACCCGAGGGTGCAAATTACTTAATAGCCTCTCAGGATGAACAGCAGCGACTAATACGCTTGTCATTATAGGGAATACCTGTCACGCTAAGCAGATGATGCTAAGAGCTGCTAACGTGCTCTGATAAGCCCTTGGACAAGAAATCAATTCTCAGGTTGTCTTCCAGCTCCGCTGCGTTTCCCAGCTCTTCCTTCCCTTTCCGTTTTCTCAGCAAAGCCTCAGACTCCCAGCTACGAGCTTTGCAATGCCTTTCTGCTATTACACGCTTCGAGCAGCCAGCTAACAACGGCCCCGGCTGTAACCATCTCCTTTGTATTATTACAGCAGTAACGGAGTCGCAGAAGGCACTTGATGACCAGAGCCATTACCCACGTCCTTGCGCAGAACAAGCAGCAGCTCTTCACAAGTGTCCTAACGCACGGCCCGTGCTCGCTCCTTTGGGAGAATTAAAGCTGGAAACGGCGCTCGGGAGAGGCACGGTCCTCGGGGCTGCCAGCCAGAACAGTAACAGCGTGTACATCCCGCACCGGGAGCACCTCATCTCGCTCAGGGCGTCCAAAAGCCGTTAAGCTGCTTCCCACAGCAAGGGTAAAACTAACCACAGCCGAGGCAGGTTCATCCTTCGCCCACAGCATCAGCGTGGCCGGGGGAACACACGGCCCACAGCTCGGCTCTCCCCTTACTTGCACCACGAGCTGCATCTTGAACAGGCTGCCTGCACAGGAAAGCACCAAACCGAAAATCAGCCGGTATTTCCACGTTTTCCTATAGAAAAAGCAGGACCACCTGGGTGCAACCCGCCGCTGACAGCCCTTCTTGATGACTGCCTCAGGATTATTTTCCATTAATTTACGCTCAGGTAAATATAGGCCTTTTATTTTAATGCAAATGTAGTTTCTTTCTGACCTTTAAAAAGTAAGATGCATAAAGCAGCAGGAGGCCGGCAGCCGCGCTGGGCCATGCCAAGGCGCGGGCAGGCGCAGGGTCGGGCTGCTGACGGACACCTGCCAGGGGACTGCACGCGCGGTGGGCAGGCTCACGCCCAACAGCGTCTAACAGATCAGGCCATTAACGTCAGGCTAGTAAGTTTTCCTCTCCTTCTGTTGGTATGAAAGGCTTTTCGGGTTTTTGTGCCTTTTTTTTTCCCCTAAGAAGTTATTCATCAGCAGGGTACGCAGCCAGCAGATCCTTCGATGCCTTCATCATGTTAATGGGCCTGTTAAAATTTTACCAAGATGTCCATTATTAATATTCATTTGCAGTATAAATTTTAAACTCTCGTTTGGAAGCAAACACGCTGTATGCAGTGCATATAATTAAAAAGCCATCCATTTGTCAAAGTAAAAGGTTTCGATGCATTTTGTTCATCGCTCCTAACACACGCTTCCATCACGAAGCGCTCTCCAGAGCTGTTAACGGCCGGTGATTGCAATGCACATTAGCAAAGCTCTGCCTGCACACAAATCGCAACAACGCACCTGAAAGAGAGGTACACTTACGCATATATTCCAGCGTAAAACCCAAACCAAATGTCCAGTACAAACCTTCTCTATTATTTCAAAAACAGAGGCTGCAAAAACATTGTCCCCTATGTCCAAGGGAAGAGATTTTCACGCATAAGCACTGCTCCTAAGGGGGCAAGCAATGCTATTTTGTCTGAATACCCCGTACTTCCACAAAGCTCACTCCTGTGTATTTGGGACCACCCCTATCCAGATCATCTCTCGCTGTTTCCAGGAATTATATTCCTTCTGCAGAAACCAGGAGCTGACTCTGTTTTCAAATTATTATGAATAATGAGCTTAAAGGAAGGCAAGGGCAAAGTTTTGGGACTCATCTCCTCATGGGCAGAGGCTGAAATGGTGTTAGAGCGAGTTTAGTATTAGGCATCATTAGAAATTTTGCTGCTGATTAAATTCAGTCATTTACACCCACCCACAGTGATCTGGCATCCCTCTGTAGAGTCTGGCACATAATGCCACAGTCCGTAACACAGGAAAATCCCAGCCATGCATACTTAGGAAAATTTTCCATTAACTTCCTTAAATAACGTACAGCAGAGCAGCTCTGGAGGACGAGCACGGGTTAAACCAATGTATTTCTTTCCTCAAGTTTGATATGAAAGTATCTTTTATTTTTTTTAAATAATCATGCCTTCTCCTTTCAGCATTTGCTCTATCTGAAGCAAGTGCTATCACTGGAGAAAAATGCATCTATCTGTCATATCGTAAGTTACTAATTACAAGTTGTTATTTCTAATGAGGTAGAACTCTTGGTTTTAGAGCCCTAGCCGAGCTGAAAAAGTGGATGCAATTATCCTACCCTCAGCCAAGCAGCAGACTATTTAAGCTTTTATTTTTCTCTGTCTCTGTCTCCGGCAGGTTTACACTGAGTATTCCATTTTCAGGAAACACCAGCGAGAAACAGGGTTGTGCAAATGCTTAGACACAGCTGACAGGGACCGGAGCTCCCCAGCACGCTCGCTCAATAAACACGTAATACAGAGGAGGTTTGGTGCCATTGGGATGATGCTGGGGACGGAATTCCCCGGCATCTGAAATCCCAGTAATTCAGTT